GTGCGCGTATGCCAAGTAGAGTTGAACATAATACCACTGACAGGTAGAGTTCACGTTAGTTAGTCTCTGGGACTTTAGCTCCGATAACGAATGCCCGGGAGCGGCCTATAACTACCGTGTGGGGTAATGGGATGTCCCTTCGGACCTCTGTGACCTTTGCGGCGGCGTCCGTGATGTGTTCTGCGTTTGTGTGTGAAGGGCCTTTTGCGTCCATGCTTCCTTTTTGGGTGAGGTCTCTTGCGATTGTGTCGAGGATGTGGGAGCTTCTTTTTGAAGAACGGGTACGTTTTCTTCAGCTTCTGAACGACATTTCTCGGGCGATATCTGCCATGTCTTCCACGGTCTGAAAAGGGAGAATTAGTTCTGCTGTTATATAGACAGGTGCGATGTGAGTGCGTATTTCACACCCTTTGGTTGAAGTGCTCGCGTGTCTTTCGTGATTTTGTTCGTGGTAGAAATTGTGTCACGGTGTGGTGAAATCAGGCACTTACCAATTTCTGGGTATATTATGGAGGTGTTGATATCATCTTACAGCATGTTCATCAATTGTCTTGTTATTAATGAAAAAAATTATTCTTATCCTAAATAAAAGTCGAGGTATTTGCGATTGAAGGAGATAAGGGGTCGCCTTGTGTCAGTGGTAAAATAAAAGATAAAATTCCGCCAAAGTTTGTTGTCTTTCAAAGCTTGAGTGTCCTTATTTGAAAACTGAAAATTTACGAGTTACATGCATTTGGTCAACGTTTTTAAGCGACCTGCACTCAGAAATGTTACGTATTTTAAATGGACATAAACGATGTTGCGCCCCCCCCCCCCCCCCAACACAAAAAAAATGTGTTTGTTTTTTTAATTGCCCAATGGACAGAAAAAATTGTTGGTTTCTTTGATTTGATTATTTTGACAAGCGCCTGATTCCACCACTTTGCCTCCCGAAAATGAATTGTCTGTAGACATTCTGCTATGCGTTGTGCCTCTCAACTCAGAGTGAGGGGCAAATGCACACAGAGACTGGGAACTTTAAAGTAACCTTAGAAAAATATGAACAAGCATCGATGTGAATAATTCTTTGGCTAAGAAAAACGCTACTTTGATATAAAGCCTTCCCACTGGGAATGATGATGATAATAATAATAATAAATGATAAACACAACAGTAATAACAACAATAATAAGACAATATCTATAGCACGCACTACTAATACATCTCTAGGCGATTTACAATATCTTGATCCTGCAAAGCACAAGTGATTCTTGGTACATACATACGCTCTTTATATTGACACTAACACATAAGAAGACACCTGTTATCACAATATAATTAATGACGATAATAAGCACATCACATCAAAAGCATAAGAGTTCTGTGGATAAAACGGTATGTCCTAACTTCGACTCAGTATCTCATTTCCTGGTAATGATTTAAACGTAAATCTAAGTCACGCTGATATCAATTATTATCAATTATGAGAGACACACTACAATTTATTATAAAATAGACGAAGCATTCAATAATAACGCCTATTCACCCAAGTGCTACAAGCAGGCAGGAATCCTCAGAACCATTGCATACATGATACAACATAATATAATGCAATACCGCTCAACCATAACAACCTGGTCTTGGTGGGCACCATGAAATTACGAATGCTCTTCTTCAGTCTTAACACCCTCGGATATGTACTCGATAACTCAATGAAACGTGTCGTCAGCTGACAAGTCGCGAGAGTACAATTAGGTTGGTGTTCTGTGTAAGTGGGTTGGGACCCTGACCCACTCTGATAACTTTCTATCGTTCTTTCTGGAATATTCTCTCCCCGCTGGAGTTACGGTAGGGAAGCAGATGCTGTACTTTTCGAATTTAATGGCTTGGTTGGTGTCTAGAGCTAGGGGCTCTGATCTTCAACAACAACAAACAACAACAATAGGAGTAGGAACAACATCAATAACAACAACAACAACAACAACAACAACAACAACAACAACAACAACAACAACAACAACATTAACAGGAGCAGCAGCAGAGTTAAAGAACTTGACATGTATGATTAAAGAGAAGCTATTAAAAGCCACAGTGCACGGTCCCCCTTTCAATACCATTTGGCTCTCTAAGGAGTGGGATCTCAGAATGTGATGTCCATTTCCCATGCTCCCCTCCCCTTCCCACATGACATACTAAGAAAGTGGCTGTAACCTATTGTTATTCACACCGTGCGAAAGAACTAACAACCCCCCAATAAATTTAAGGGGGAATATCCTTAGCAGTAGCAGCTTCCCTCGACGCAAACTGCAAAACGTTTTAGTTTTAGTCAGAGTTTTACGGCACCTGCAACACAAACCGGTGATATGAATGCCGAAGATTATAGGTGTTACTTGAGAGCAACATACAAAGACAAGAAGAAAGAGAGGTAAGGTGTGCTGGGGTAATAGTATAGATTGTGAAACGCATACAGCTTGCTGTTGAGCGGGGATTTGCGCTATACAGATGCTATATTTTTTTTAAAATTATTATTATTATTATTATTATTATTATTATTATTATTATTATTATTATTATTATTATTATTATTATTATTATTATTATTATTCGATGAGGACCATAGATGTTTGATAGTAAAGAAGAGGGCAAACCCCACAAGATCACCCGGTAACCAAGCAACAGCAACGTGTGTACTAACATTTAAATGTAAACTCGCTGTTAAAGATAATTTATTATCAAGGTTCTTGTTCATACTCACAAGGTGGGCCGGAGCTGGGCAGAGGTCGAGGGTGGGGTCTCGGGAAGGGGTGTGGGTGAACAGGTTTTCCAGCTTTAGAAATCCGACAGTTGGCCGGACCAGGAGTACATGCGTTCTTCGTCACGTCCCACCTGGAGGTATATGTGAGACAGCTTGGTGAAATCAGGCGCTTGTCAAAAATTTAAATACATAAATTGGAGAAACAGACACTTTTCCACCATTTTAAAATTTTTTATCGAGATTTTATTTTTTGGCTAAACCTCTTTCAAGTCCATATGAAAACACATTTCTGTGTGAATTATACGGAAAAACAGTGATTAAAGGCACAAAAATGTCATTTTTCTGTTTTCCAAGACTCTTTAGCTTTGGAGTTACCAAACTTTGAAGGCCATTTTCTCATTAATTTCACCACTGATAACAGGCGACCTCACGTCCTTCAATCGCAAAACTCTTTAAGTTCTATTTAAGATAGATGGACATTTATTTCATCTGAAGCAAGGCAAATAAATCAGCTTTTAGTTAATACCAAAAGCTCCACATGCTTAAAGATTGACGAGGGCCTGATTCCACCATGTCGTGACACATATAGACGTGTGAATATGAGTATGTGTGTTTGTGTATATGTGTGTGTGTGTGTGTGGGTGTGTGTGTGTGTGTGTGTGTAGGTGTGTGTGCGTGTGAGTGTGAGAGAATGTATATAATATAATGTACAGTTGAAGCTGCCACGGCGGTTACCTGTATAATACGACCACCTGTATAAAAGGCCACTTTCTTTTTCTCCTTACGTTTTTTTTTCTGTAAAATTATAGCACTGTGTAAAACGATACGCAAACCAACGCGGCCACTATACTTCTTCAACCAACTGCCAAAAAGGAAGTCTAAGATGGTCACGAAATTCTTGAATCTCGAAAGAATCTGTGTGTCTGTTGCTTTAAGTTTATCTTGGCCGGATTTTGTAATTGTTGCAATGAATAATTGACCTATACCGTCGTATTCAGGTAACCAGTTGTATTTAGGCTACCAGTGAGATGTTTCTGTTTTTTTAGGAACACACATCTTTAGTGATTCAAACTAGTGTCCTCCACACCAAAGTCTGCTCGCACCTTTCAATAATACACAATACGTTCGATAAAAGCATCAGCCGTTCAACGAGTAGGCACATGATCATTATTCAGTATCCCCGAACCCATACGCACCCACATGCACCCACAAGCACCATCAAGCACACACAAGCACACACAAGTACACAGAAGCACCCACAAGAACCTTCAAGCACACACAAACACACACAAGCACACACAAGCACACGCAATCACCTACAAGCACGCACAAGCACAAGCACACACAAACACTCACAAGCACACACAAGCACATACAAGCACCCACAGGCACATACAAGCACCCACAAGCACTCAAGAGATCTCAACCAAATTAGTGTCGTCGGCACTGTTGTCAACTCAAACTGTTTACGAATTCATATTACGTTCTTTCAAAGAATTACGCTCTTACATTACACTATGGCGATCAGCAATGGCGTGTTTGTAGCACATCTGCATGTTTGAGTACGTATGTGTATTTGAATCTCAGTATTTAGTGTGTTATATCATATGCTGTTGCCAAATTTCCCAATGGAGAGTGATAAAAGTGAAATTGCATAATAATATATTATGCATCTGACCTTTGCCCTGGATCTTTAAATCCACGAGCCCCCTCTTGTTCTCAGCCCTACCTGTATCTAGACTTGCAGTATGACTCAACCGTTTTGCCGTCCACACACCGGACGAACATGTTACCTCTGTTGTAGGGGTTGTCGAGGGGAGCCAGGGCTGAGCATGCGTATTCGCCGTCGTGAAGAGTGACCCTGACATTGTGATGGCCATTGCTAATTGTGACATGGTTGCACTTACGACCGTGGGGTTCTGAACAGAGGCAGGGGGTGTGGAGGTTGGGGGTGGGGCGGTGTGAGGGCGAAGGCGGAAAGGGGGAGGGGGTGGGGTGGGGTTGGTTGGGCGGAGAATTGGAAGGAAAGCATAATTATATCATTGCTTTTTGGAAGTATCTAATCAGAGACAGCTTTGATGCGTTTGTTATTTGACGGTAATAGATAATGATAATGACATTATGATCTATTGAAAAGGTTTGCCTTCACCTTGTGCTTTTCCACGTAGAGAATGCTAAATGAATTTCGCAGCAGAAGCTACTTGCACAGACTCACTGTCAGTGGTCAAAACTAGTGAGGTTTCGTGACCCCCCCCCCCTCTCTCTC